CACTCCAGCAGGACAGAATCATTAAAATCAAAGGACTGTACTTAATATAATTCATGAAATACAAATACTTCTTATTACATTTGGCCGCAGCCCTCAGATAGATTTTCATTTTGGGGAAAAGCTTTGTGCAGCCTTGATATATGTATATAAACTGAAACAGCTGGACTAGTGCATCCTAAATTTAACATCCATTCATTCTTTTAATATGCAGGTCAGGTAAAGGCACTGGGGAGATGGCTGTTCTTACATATTCAACAAATTGACTGATTCCATATGTTTTTTTTCTGCTTGGTCAAACAAAGTAACCATTACTGACTGCCACAACTTTTTTCTTCATTTCTTTTAGTGTTTCTTAAAGCCAGAAAGTTGCCATTTGAAATGACTTTAGTTTCGTGTCATGTCTGCTTTTTTTCTACAAAATAAAACTGAATGCACATCCTTCGAGGCAGGTGATTCCATACTTTTTACCAGGGGTTGTATAAGCAGGGTGTTCTATCCAAAATGAATACTGACTGTGAGGCCAGTCGAGGTCTGCGCAGACTCATACTGTAGCTCCTTTTCCAGGTTTTCTTGCCCTGCCGGTTCCTCACTCCGTCCTCCTGGTCCATCATCTGCTCCAGCAGCGTCTGGTCGTCAGCRTTGAGCGGCGCCACACTGATGTCTCTGACAGCCCTGAACTCACCACAGTTATTCAGGTGCTCGTTCTCCAGACGGAAAAAGTTCCACACAAAACGCCTGAAAAGGATAAACTCCACTGTTAATAACTTACTCTAACCTGAAACATACAGTTTTAACAGCATTATTACAATTTAATCATTAATACTAAATACACATCTGCAGTATAGAAATATTTATATCATAATTAAACACCCGCTGCCAAAAAGTGATGCTGCCTGTGTCCAGCAGACAGAGTTTATAAAAACTTTCAGAAAGCTGAACCTTTTGGAGTAAATCTGATACTAGATGGCTGCCACAGTTAGTTGACTTTAACATACAAATAATAGAACATATTGCAAAAGATTTTGTGRTATCAAGTTAGGCTTTGTTATCTTTAAGACTAAACAGGTCATATGAAAAATACTTTGGTTTGTCAAATAACTGTATAATTTGATAGTATATGTTATGTGATCCATCAAAATTCTAAATGTCTTTGTAAACGARACCAAAACATGCAGTTTTCTACAAACTACATAAAAATCAGAGTTTGAATTTCCATTTAGAGCTCCTGAAGGACACAAAGTGATGTGTGGAGTCATTGTGGTCAAACAACACAACTGCAGAAGCAGCTTTTGTTTTTTGGAAGTTTTATATAATTTTGTGGACTTTGTGGCTTTAGGGTTGTAAAGTAACTAAGTACAAATACTTTCTTACTGTACTTAAGTAGAAATTTTGGTTATCTGTACTTTACTTGAG